TTAAACATTAAATACAATATTAGATAAATCATAATAATTACATACGATAATCACATAAAAGGGACGTGCAGCATTAAATACAAGTTCTTGGCCGTTTTCATGATAGGTCTAGCAGTGTTGGTTATACACAACGATGCCTACACAAAATTGAAGAGAAATGCATATCCACGCCAGTGATTCCCCTTGAGATGTTACCATTAACAGATCGTTAACAACTCTCGACTCTCTCATCTCTCGAAGAAATGGATGGAAACTCATGCGTATAGACATTGGTTGAGAATCGATCTATACATTGGTTGAGAATCGATCTATTTCACCCCCTCAACAGGCACTCTGTTACGGCAAAGGCATCTGTGAATACCATTGGGATATGTCTTTGACAATATGTGCAAAATATTGGTCATTGCACGAGTTAAAAGTGTGATGATGTATTATAAGTTCCTCAATTCGAAGAAAAGTTCCTGCTACAATCAGTGTGGCTTTACAATTATGGATAAAACTTGTGACATTTGGTATATGAACACTTGTTTGATGAGTGATAAGTGCGTTTTTCAACACTTATTTGGCGACATAATATGATTAATTGTTGACACAAGCATTTGAATATGACTTAATTTTATCTAATTTCGTTTTGTAGCACTATATTGATGGACTTGGTGGAACGTAAGAGAAAATTGGCGAAAAATAACCAAAAAGGAAGACAACGAAAGTTTAGAGACCAAAATGCGAATAGTCGAAAGATGACTTGAAGCATGAAGTTTGATTACGAACGGACTAAGCACTAATCTGATTAGTGCAAAGGATGTTAAAAGAAGGAAATTGAAGAAAAGATATTAAAATGAGATAACGAAGTTCGGGGGCTAAAACAACACGCATGGAGAGTTGTTTCTACCATGCGACCTCATGGTAGAACTCTCCATGCGGTCACACATGGTCAGTCAGGAAAAAAAAAAAAAAAAGAGGCCAACCTAATTGAACCATGCGGTCGCATGGCTCACAACCATGCAGCCGCATGATTGAAGTTTTGTGTGAGAATTTTAGTTTCCTTTTTCTACTCAACAACCTATGGAAACAAATCTTGTACACTTATTTAAGCCTAAAATCGTCCAGAACGAAGGGGCCACGCCATATGAAATAGAAGAACCCTTGAATACATCTTGAAGAAGATCTGGAGGCAAGGATTTCAAGGCACAACAATTAGATTCTTGGTTTTTGAAGCTTAATTGTTATTTGGTGATGTCTTCTCTTACATTGTTTTCGTATTTTATTCTTTTCTCCATGTTAGGCTTGTTATTTCTGTACTAGAAGATCGATGAACTTTGCTATGTAAACTTCAAATTCTAGTTTTGCAATATTGACAATTAAAACATGTTTTGAGTTGAATGATTTTTATTCACGTATTGTTTCCACAATCATTATTCATGTGATTGTGTGAATGTAGTGATCTATTTCATACATTCGAGAAAAGGGGAATAAATTTGACAAGGTATCAATCATCGTAGGGTCCTATAGGTAATAGAAATATACACATGTGCTTTGCGTGAATATTTAAGTGATCATAAAGCTACATGCATTCTTGTGAAGTCGCATTCGTCATATAGATATAGTCAGATGGTTTGCATGAATAGGTTCAACATTATTCGAAAGAGATTGTTGGATATAGTAGGATCATTGATTCTTCAAATTATCAAGCATGTTGTCAATATTGTAGAACTAGATTCAAGGTGAGCATTGCATATGGATTCGTGATCCTAGTGCTAGTTTTTAATTCATAAAAAAAAAAAAACCTCCAATTTGCATTCGAACGTTTATTTGCAGTTAGTCGCTATAATTTAGTTAAATTGCATACATAATTTTAGTCAGCTACAAATCTTTACAGTCACTTCATTTTTCATAGATTCAGCTAAGATCTTGATAATTGGAATTAAATCAAATAAATCTCTGTGAGAACGATATCCGAAATTCTCAATTTCACTTTATTACTTGTTACGAACCGTACACTTGCGGTGATTTAAAACGAACAATTATTTTCGTGAACATAATACAACACCCATGTGACATCGCTCTCTTTTTTGACATGCCTTCAAAAAATACAAATTACTTTGCATGGGTTCGAAATTTAGAGATGGGAAACTCTTTTAAGAGAGAAAATGATAAATCTGAGTACGCAACTCTATATCATAAATTAACTTACATAAAATGACTAATATCAAGCCTTTTACAGGTTTTAAATTATGTGTCTAACCTTGTACGTGTATCTATCGTCAATTGCATACCTTCCCTTACAATGATTCATGCATATCCTAAGTATACGAATCCATTTCTACATCTATCCATTATCTACAATTCATATATATCATAGTTCAATACATGAATAATTCCAAATACACAGTTAACTTATCTATATAAATCAAGTTTGTTTTTATAATAGCCTCCCTTAAACTTGATATATAATAAATCTGAGTACGTTTTGAAACCTCAAAAATGCATCAATCATCAATTGCTTGTGAAAATATATTGAGACTTCAAGAATTTTAACACCACGTGTTGTTTGTCAATACAAACTCGAACAAAATGATACTTCATGTTCATGTACTTACTTTGATCATAAAAGGTGGATTCTTAACCAACTATAATGTTGACTTGTTGTCAATAAGAATCACAGTCAAATCATCTTGTTGCAAAATGTAGGGCTGGGCAAAATATCCGGACCGAACTGAATCGAACCGAGCGNGGGAAAGTGGCCGCTATCTGGATGGAAAAGGTGGTCCGGAAGCACTGCCCATGAAAAAGGTGGTCCGGAAGCACTGCCCGCCCGGCCCCGATCTTTAATCAAAAAAGAAATAGCATCTGCAAAATGTCTCTAGAACTACATGCATTGCTTTTTGTATTATACAAAGGTGAACCGAGCTAACCACGACAATAGAAGTGTCAATTTAACATCAACTTCGCCCTCTCCAATTAGTTTCCAGTTCTTTGAAACTCAACCTTTTGGGATCAGTTATGCACCTGGACAAGTGCAGAAAAGAAGCACGTACGTAAATTTTTGTTAGTCATTTGATTCAACCCTCCATTGTATACACTGCAGAACCCTATTTCCCTCTTTTTTACACCCACACAATGTTCTTAGGGTGTCATTAGCATGATATGCTTGTTTGGCCATTAAAGCAACCGGAGCACCATCAACTCGTCTCAAAAGCCAGGGTCCACAACAATTGGCCATAACTGTCAAGATATTGAGGAAGAATCTCAATTGTCTCCAACACCATATTGTATGCATCTTTCAGATATATGTACGAAAGAAAACCCGAGATGAATGAAGGGCAGCCAATTACAGAAGGGTGTTCTCTTGCATTTTTTTTTTTTTTGTTGGCAGTCGGCTAAAAGTATAAAAAGGACCAAAGAAATAAGGAGATGCCATGACCAGGCCATTTAGAAGTAAGAATTCCTTGAAAAGTGAGCAGTGTCCGTTCATTTAGTTGAAAAAATAGGGAGACTCCAAAACTTCTCTCAAGTCAAAGTCTCCACGTTCTGGCAATGGGGGAAAGTTTAACTTGGGGAAGGACTGCTGAAAACTTTCCAACAACTGTAAAACAGAAGCAATGGTTACATAAACTTATCACCCAATAAGTCTCGAAAAAACCTTCTGAACAAAAACACCAAGTAAAATAGACATTTCCACCTTTTAACATAGAATAATTCTTCTAAATAAGTAATTTCATTTAAAGGTAGCAATTTCGAAGTAAGGTCTTAAACTATGATGCTCGGACTCGGGTACGGATACGGGTACGTATGTGAGTGTCAGATCTTTTATTTTCTAAAATGTAAGATACGGGAACATGGCTAAAAAAAGTCTAAATTTCAGACATGGGTACGTTGGTACATCTTTCAAACTTCAATTTTTTTTTACTAATCCAAAATGATCAAAATTAATTATTCACAATGAAGGAAATTGGTATTTAATAAGGGATTAAGACGAATAAAATAGAGTTTTTGGGTTTAGTTTTCAATTATGGAATTATTAAATGTTATATAAAATAGAAAATGAGGAATTTGATTGGAATTTGATTTAGTAGAGTACTAAGTAGCACTTTATGGAACTCATTTTCATTTTATACAAACAAAACTCTAGACCACCGATACAAAGAGAGAGAAGGAAAACAAAGAAGAAAATGGAAAGAACAAAGAAGAAAAAGAAAGTAAAACCTAACGCCGCCGCCTTTCTCCACCCTCTTGGCAACGACGCTAGATTTATAGAGAGTAAAGGTGGGAAAGAAGAAAAGGAAAAGATAAAATTAAAAAAAATAAGAATAAAGAAAAAGAAGGAAGAAGAAGCAAAATAAAAAAAGTCTAAATTTCAGACACGGGTATGTGGGTACATCTTTCAAACTTCAATTTTTTTTACTAATCCAAGATAATCAAAATTAATTACTCACAATGAAGGAAATTGGTATTTAATAAGGGGTTAAGATGAATAAAATAGAATTTTTGGGTTTAGTTTTCAATATGGGATTATTAAATGTTATATAAAATAGAAAATGAGGAATTTGATTGGAATTTGATTTAGTAGAGTACTAAGTAGCACTTTATGGAACTCATTTTCATTTTATACAAACAAAACTCTGAACCACCGATACAAAGAGAAAGAAGGAAAACAAAGAAGAAAATGGAAAGAACAAAGAAGAAAAAGAAGGTAAAACCTAACGCCGCCGCCTTTCTCCACCCTCTCGGCAACGACGCTAGATTTATAGAGAGTAAAGGTGGGAAAGAAGAAAAGGAAAAGATAAAAATAAAAAAAAGAATAAAGAAGGAAGAAGAAGCAAAAATGACGAAGTGTCCGGTTAAAATGTGGAGGATCCGACACATATCCCATACTCATACTCATACTCATGTCATGTCGTATCCGACACGGGTACTCCAACTATTTCGAAGAGTCAAACTGTCCAAGCATCATAGGTTACTCAAAAGTTCTAGAAATAATCATGTTATAAGGTTGTAAAAAAAGATCCGGTTGAAATTTGGAGGATTCGACACATCTCATACTCATACTCATGTCATGTCGTATCCGACACGGGTACTCCAACTATTTCGAAGAGTCCGAGTATCAGAAGTCTTAAATCCTATTAAATCATAAAACATAAAAACATAGGGAGATGGAATAATATCACAAGGTATTAAAGGAAAAATAACTAAAAGTCTCACCAGCTAAAATTATTCAACAAGTACAACAATACATAAAAAAAAAAAACTGATCAGGAGTTAACATTAAAATCCTAACTCAATTTTTTTCTTCACTCAAATGAGAAAGACGGGTGAAATTTAAAATCGTTATCATCAGTCAAATCTTTCTTATTGAGGGAATCAAGGAAAAACAGCTCCAGTATCCATGATTTTTCAGATGACATTGTGTTGGTAGATGACACTAATAGACAAGGTAGAACTCATAAAACATTTAAAAGTGTGTTTCCAATATTTAGGCTCGCTTAGTCAAAAAGAGGGCACTGGTGATGATATTACTCAAATGATTAATTCTTGTGGGCATAAATCAGAGTGCCCCTGACGTTGTGTGATTGAGAAAAAAAAGTTCAGATAAAAAAGGAATTCCATATAGCACCTGAAAGAACAACCATGTTATATGGAACCACAGGTTGGACTACTGAGAAACCAAATATATGCACAGTGGACCAATACAAATACGAAGAGCACAGTAATGAGCTGGTTAAGGTATAGACAAAGAAACCATTGACCTATGCATACAGGGACGGGAGTTGAATTGAGCACTGTGATTAGAAAAACTCACATTCTCCAAAATCGGTGCATCGTAGAGTTCAACAAACTTTTCTCTGAGAATCTTGTTCAATTGGTCTACATCACATGCATGCGTCCAGTATGAATCATGCACTCCTAGAATCAAATTGCAGTAAAAATTATTAGACATTCCTGAACTAGAAGGTGCTCCAAAAAATAAACGGAATCCTGATGGCAGGAGATATAGACCTGCAAAACTTAACCCTGCCTCTTTACAAGAAATAGCAGTCATCATCATATGAGAACCATCAAGAGAGTGAACAAAATTTGGAGGAAAAGCTGTTCTCTGCCGCTTAACCATCACCTGAGAAAATCAGGTAAAAGATAGCACATAATTAGAGGCAATTACATGTTTTATTAGATGTTACATTTTTATTTTTTCTTCTTCGGTTTTTAAATTCTTTTTTCTTCATTTCTTTATTTATTTTCTTTTCTTTTCTGGTTGTGACTTTTTTGAGTGAGGAAGGGAGCACAAGGAAGCAGGGGTTAATGGGGGGAGGACAATAACATGAATCACGACACAGCTACACTTCAATATATCATTCTTGATATCAAAAACGGGAAAGGAACTGGAAGTTACCTTGTCAGTTTCACGTTGGAGTGTCAAAATCTGAAGAGAAGTCTTAACCTGCATCAAAATTAATACCCAATCTTGAATGAGCCATTGACAGAAAATGATTATATCCTACTGCTGTGGCTAACACTACTTACTACAACAATAATAATAACACCAACAAAAATAATAAAAATAAATAAACTATGTTTAGTTTATGCTTGTCGATGCTGATGATGAAAACAAAGAGGAAGTCCATAGGATAAAGGTATGTGAAAGTTACCAGATGCCTTCCTAATTTCCGGTAAGGTTGTACAACAGGGAGCCCAAGCGGTGTGGTCCAACGTACTGGTTCGTTCTCCATAGCTATAATCTAAAAAGTGGAAAAAGGAGAAAAAAGGAAACATAAAGAACAACTATGAAACAAGTATAAGAAAATAAAGAACAGGAGGATAGTTATAGAAGCAATGCAGTGAAGAACAGAAATGAAACAAATATTGGATAGAATACAATAGTAGGTTCTATGCCAACTGATCCAGTATCAAGTTTCATGGCCAGTTCATTTATATATTGCAATATCTACTGTTCTCCAAAGGGGTCAGGTATGATGATGATAAGTCTGTACACATGAAGGTTTTTTCTCTACGCTCATTAGTAGTTTATGCCATTCCTCCTGCCCATCTTCTTTTCCGTCCCTCCATAAAAAAACGTGTTTCTTATTATTCCAATTCTTTGCACTACCTATGATTTCCAGCCCAGTTTAGCCAAATAGCGCAATCAAGATTGAAAACTTTGGTAAATTGGTTCCTGCAAATCTCATAATTGCATCATAACTATGTTATCTTAAACAATTTTTCATTTCATAATTTTCTGGATAACTTTAGCACCTAAGACGTGTAAAATTGAAGTACAAATGTCAAACAAGATGATCTGAAGAAACCTACCCACACTATGTGGCAAAACTTAGCTTGTCGCATGATGCAATTTAGATTTGATCTTGAAATGGAACTATCCACATTCTAGGCAGTCTTAGCTTTGCCTATTTATATGCTAGTATCTGGTCTTAGAGAGGTTCAGGAAAATGATGTTAGTGGATTTGGCAGCTGTACCCATAATTATATGATGTCAGGCAAGAAGTAGATAACCATACCCTAGTATCCAAAACAACGGACCATGAAATATTGAGGTGATAAAATCAGCTGAAAAATCATGTACCTCTGAAGAAAAACATTGGGAAACAGACAACTTCGAATCAAGTGGCAATCATGCTTAAAATAAGATTTTTTACATGAAAAATTCTATACATTAGAATGGAACATACCTTTGCACAGTCTCCAAGCCAACTCATGATGCTCCGTGCAGCTTCAAACATCTCTCCTAAGGCAGTCAAGGTTGTCTGCTCAAGGGTTCTAAAAAAATTAGCTCAAACATACCTAGTCGCATGTAGAAAGCGTGTGCAGAATAAAACTGATACCTCATAATTCTCAACATCATCTGAAACACATCTATGTCATATGAAATGCTACAATACATCAACTTTCTTTTGGTTACAAGGAAACTAGGCAAAAATAAATAAAGCTATATGCTCATACCTTTGCTGCATAGCATGCTGCAGAAAACAACTCCGTGTCATCCTCAATAGCACCACGCTCCTTTAACCTCTTCTTGATTTGATCTCGTGCACCTATATAAGTGACGCCGTATACTGATGTCATCACTGTTTGCTTGACTAATTTCCTGTCCACCTGAAAATAAAGAACTATGAAATTAGATTGTTACAAAAAAGTAGGCACCATACCACTCAATGCATTCATAGTTCAAAACAGAAAAGAAAAACCAATAAATAAATTTTATTTTTCATAATCAAGCATAAATAGCAAGAGAAACAAGTCATTTTCATAATATTGCTAGTCATGATATCTGGTAAACAGAATAAATACATGAAATACAACCCATGTTTGATGAGTTTTTTATCAAAACTCTTTTTTATACATGCTCATTTTCAACCACACATTCCCACAATAAATATTTAGCACGTAAACTCAAAAATTTTCCCCACTTTTCAACCACACATTCTCCAAAAATTCACTTTTCAAAATATTGTTTTTCCCAAAACCTGGTTAATTAACAGTCTTGCACGCATAACATTGGGATCAGATGCAGGGTCTTTTGCAGCATCCCTCTTCATGATGTCAAGAACTCTGCATCAGAAACAGTTAGTAATGAATACAACTAAATTTGGACAGCAGGACATGAATGAGTAGAAAGACTGATTTTAAAGCATTTACACTGCTTGAGCATTAATGCAACCCATAACGACAGTTGTCTGAGATCCAGAGGCAGATCTCAGAAATTATTCTCTTCATATTGAAGTAAACTACTCGTTTAATCTTCCAGTTGTACAAGTTATTTACAGAATTGTAACTAGATAAAATCAAGTACATGCCAATCCAAATATTTATTCAATTTATTGTCAACGTCAACGTCAAAGTCAATTTTATTTGTTATTTAATTTATTTTAGGGTGGGGAGAAAAACAAAGAAAAAGGATATTATAAATCATGCTCACAACTTACCTTGAAGCGATTCCTGAGTAAACATCTGCAGGTTTATCTCCCTTGACAAGATTGACTGCAGCTGCTCCCAACTGGAGATATATAATAATGTGTTACATATGTGTGAAACGGTTTGTATTTTTTTCCCCTTAAAATGTATCGATCATCGTCTGAACAAGTAAAATAAATGGCGTCCTCGGAGAGTCAAAACTTTTGGAATATGATCAGATAGCTGCAGCTTCTCTCAACTGGGCATATATTATTATTAGTTACGTTGATTGCAAACAGTGCTGTGGTGGGAACACCAAAATGCATTTACATTCAGAATAACTTCATAAAATTACCAAAAATCTAATCAAGTTGAGATGAAATATTAGAACCAAGCAAAAATTGAATTAGTTGGGAGCCCATAATTCCTATTGCTTAGTCCTCTCAGCTTCACACTATTTAGATATGTAGTAACCACCTTGGAATATCGGGCCTGGAATCAACCTTTACATATATTCTATGAATATAGGTAAGTTTCTGTTCCATAATTACTTAAATATATTTCCAACATTGTAAATGAAAGCCTCATAGACACATAGACATAGCAACATTGTTAAATCCTTCTAGTACATTACCTTGTCCCTCCCAAGGGCAGCATAGTGTTGCAAGCCATTACATGAGCCATCCTTCAGAACAAAAATAGCAAATGATACATTCAGGTTTATTTCTTTACAATCTAATTAATAACTAAAAAACTTTGACAGAGATTAGAATACTATATACTAAAGAAAGGGTGAGTCACTTTCTAGAACAGATGAAATGTTAAACGTAGGTCTCGGATTATCATTTGTATTTTAATGATTCAGTGAGGTTGAGTGTCTTTGCACACTAAACTGTGTACAACCATGTGTAAATGGCAAGGCCATGCATTAGACAAGTTAACTTATTTACAGAAAAATGAAAACAGAAGTCAGACCTTAAATATTAAAAATTAGCTGAATTATAATTAAATTACTTAAGAGCATATGCAACATGTCCATCCTGTTTCATATTGTCCTACTCCTATCTGATAAGTTCCCCATCCCATGCCATCCTCTCCTTTACCCATGGGGGGGAGAGAGAGAAGGATTTAAAACCACGGTTTAGTTACAGGCATTTGATAAATTTCTTACCTGGTGAACCGGCATATGAGATATAGCAGTCTCTGGAGATGGACTTCTTAATGCTTCAGCTAGGTTCATACATGTTGCTAAGCATTGGAAAGGATCCTCTGCACCTAACCACCAGCGGTTCCCTTCAAGAGGCCTATCTGCAGAAACAAAGATATCTTCCATATGGTTTTCAGCAAATTCCATTCGCCCTTTGTAAGATAATTTGTCCACACCACTGCCATATAAATTTGCTAAATGTATCTTCAACCATTGTAAGCCTGATTTGCCAAGTGGGCGTCCTTCTGCAAATTCTAGGATTCCTCGGCAGAGGTCAGATCCAAGATGATTCAAGTATGGGTGCATGGGATATGCACGACCGCGGAAATCTAAATTGTGAGGGTAATAATAGCCATCTTCATCCTTCATTTTTCTTGCAACCTGCTCTATCAAGTAAAACAATTAAATGGTGATTTAAGAAAAACATCACAAGTGACATTAGGCCCCTGTTTGACACACATTCTTTTAAAATACATTCTTTCAAAACTCATTTTCAACCACACATTCTTCAATAAAATAATATTTTTCATCATATCAATAACTTTTCTTTCTTTTTTAACCACATATTTCCCATCATATCACTATTTAAAAGAAGCAGTAATTGAACATCACACATTAAGGCCCTGTTTGACACACATTAATTTTTTCATTCTCATTCTTTTACTCATTTTCAACCACACATTCTTCAATAAAATAATATTTTTCATCTCATCAATAACTTTTCCTTTCTTTTTAACCATATATTTCCCATCATATCACTATTTAAAATACATTTTTCCTCAATAATATCCATCAAATACCCCCTAGAATTGAATGAAAAATATTCTTACAGAAAGTTTGAGTTCTATATCACATCGCTGTGAATGCCTTTCACTGTTCTCCTTTTTCGTAGCTTTAACTTTCCACTTCCATTTCCTGATTTCGGTTTCATCATCTGTATCCGGCTCCTCGGGCAAAGGAACCTGAATTGGCATGACATTAAGGGAAAAAGTTGAAGACTAAAGGTGTGTTTAAACCACATTATTTTGGAAGAATGCATTTTGAAATAGTAGATTGAAGGAGAATGTGTGGTTGAAAAAGAAGGAAAAGTTATCGATGTGATGGAAAATATTATTTTATCGAAGAATGTGTGGTTGAAAATGAATAGAAGAATGAAAATGAAATTTTTAATGTGTACCAAACATGGGCTAAGCATAAGAAGAGAACTGATTGAAGTAGAATTCAGGTTTCAAGAAAAAAAAATTCAAAGCCCTCAAGGTCTAAATAAGTAATGGTTTACAAGGAGAAAGATGAGAGAGAAACAGAAGCAAATGAATCTTATCTTTGTGAATGTTACTCACGTCTTCACGATCAACCAAGTCAGCAAGTTGACCCCCACTAGCCCAGATTCTGTCAACAATCCCTAGAATTCTTTTATTGACCTTCCATTTGGTATTTCCAAGTGTATTAAGTGCCTAGATTTGAGGGAAACATCAGAAGCAATGTTATTGCAGGAAACAGCAATACATTTCTTTATGTTCCATACCAGTAGAAAAATAATATGCAAAATGACCTGCCTTGCCATTACCATCCAAATTACAAGACAAAATCATAACTTGATGAAAATTGAAGCGAAGTCCAAGGATATCTAACCTCAAAAACAGGTTCTAACTGGTTTCTTGGAACTCTTTTAACTGCTTCACGTTGTTGTTTTGCTCCATGTGTGCGCATGATGTAAGATGGTAGGAACAAATAAGCACCTCTATCATACCTGCCAACATTACAGTAACTTGTCTAAACTAGGTACAAGATAGTCTAGGAATGGTACTGAAATTAAAAAATCCAGATCATCAAGATGGACAACAGACTCAAAAAAAAAAAACGGCGCAGTTCACAGATTCTTATTTTATTTCCATTAACGTATTAGAGAGGGTGAAATTATTTTTGGTATCATTTCCACCTCAAGTACTACAGGATCAGGACCGGTACTAAGAGTGTGGATTAAAGCTGGAATTTCTAGCAGGGAACCTGATGCAACATGGAAAGTATATTCTAGGCGTAGAAGAAATCAAATCAATTAGAATTTCCATTCTTGAGTTTTATTGCATTTTCAAGACAATTGATTTTGTTTCCTCTATGGAGGAAACCCTAGTTTTCCTTCTAGTTCTACTTTAAACTCTATATAAAGAGGCCCTTTTATTGTAATAGATAGACACACCATTATTATTGAATAAAATCACAATCTCCCTCTTAATTCTCTCTTATTTTCTTCTTCTGTTCTCTTCTTTCTTAAATGCTATTGTTCCTTGCATTCGTCGTCTCAAAGCAAAGGCCTTTTTCCTTTCGCCGAATTTTGATTCACCACGTGAAATGTTCCGCAACAACCACTAAGAAATTTCTTTTAGTCATTATCTAACTTAAACACCCAACCCACACCAAACACAAAAACAAAGGGGAGAAACTCAAAGGTACAAATCAGTGGAAGTAGTTTAGTTTCTGTCTTTTTATTTTACTATTTGGGTCCGTTTGATTGTAAAGGTGGTAAATGGGTGGAAAGAAAATGTTTTACAGGGAATTAAATTGCCTAAAAATTGTTTTACTAGAAATTGTAATTAATTGTATTTGATTTGTATAATTTTCCACCTGTAAATTATTGAAAGTTTGGTGTCTGTTTGGCTTCATTTTTTATGAAAATTGTTCATTAAAGTGGATAATTTTTCCTACTATTCGGTCTAGAATTTGTTCCAATTGCCAAAAAAAAAATTGAAAAAAAAAATACCATATTAAATACAATTCGTTTGACTTTGTTTTGCATGGAAATTGTCAATAAAAGTAATTTTTTTTACCATTATATCTAGAACTTTTTCTAAAAAAAAAAAAAAAACCAATTCCCACCAAAATGGTGGGAAATGGTTTTCCACAAAATCAAAGAAATTGTAAGCATGTGAGATAAAGTAAGAAAATTAATTTTAGGGAAAACTTTGCCTATCAAACAAGGCAAAAGATGGAAAATGGAAGTTCCATTTTCCATGGACAATCTATGCTATCAAACATAGCCTTAGGGGAAAAAAAGCCAGAACTTTTCATCGGTTAATCAGGATTTGAATTCGATTTTTAGTTATTTTATTTCAACTAAAAAAAACTAGAGAATTCGGGAATTACTATTGCAAAATAACATTGTACATGTTGCTACTCCAAATACACGTACCCAACAATTCCTCACAACCCACATATACCATCCCACGCCCAACAAATCACACTTAGCCCATTACCTATTAACAATTACCTCCACATACTAAGCTCATTACTAACAACCATAGCCTATCCTACCAAGCATGCCTAATTCCCACACCTAACTTGTTCCGCCGTCGGCCGCCATATTCACTGGGAAAACTATCCTTCCACCACCTTCCTCACCCAGCACCCCAGGTCCAACCCACTCTAGAAGTCGATATCACCAAACTCCTTCCCCCACTTCACATCACGCAACTAATTTCCAAGTCGCGATATTACCTTGCCAATTCCAGTAGCTTCGCCTATACCTTCGTCGTGACCCGTCCACTATACTCGTCGTACTAAAACAACAATATCAGTGATTTACACTAAAGACCTAACATGCAAAACTTACTGTTCCATTTTTCCCAACATATAACAACAAAGAGGACAAGCCCCTCTGTGCCCATAGCTGATTCAGTTCTATGCCGCCACCAGTTCAGTACATCGCCATAGCACATGCTTGAGGTTCCCATGTTCTCCACCTTCTCTATGCAGATTGACCATTGCTCGTTGTTGTTCAATTCACCACCATGCGCCGGTTCAGTGCATCGCCATAGCCAGAAGTGACCTCGACATCAACCTCCATCCACCACTGCCACTGCAGGCTCTATGCCTCTGTCTGCATTGCAGCCAACCGCCATTTCTTCCGATTAGTTCATTGTTAGTAAGGATTAAATTGCTTTTGAAAACTTTCTTCTATTCAAGTGTTTTTGTTTTTCAAGTAGATCTTGTTTTAACTCCCAAACAAAAAACTAGATTTAAAAAAATTTAACTATAATAACAAAAATAACAAAAAAAGTAGTTTAAGTTCTTTCTTTAAGAAATAAAAAATATCTTAAGGACCTTACACAGTCTTATGATGCCCTCCGACATTAAGTCGCTAATCTTTGATTGACATGTCAATGAAATCTGTTCTAGCTGAGCTTAAATCTCTAATACACTACCTTAGTGAACCGATTAAGCAATCAACTTGAAGTTCAGATAAACATCCTATGGATGATTTATCTTAATCCTCTGTCATAGGTCAAAACGTTCATGATCAGCTCCGTCATACACCATACAACATACTGCCTAACCCACACAATCTTGATCCTATCCAAAACAAATGCTCCTCGTCAGAGACCCCCACCCCCACATTATGACCAAAATAGAGACCCTATTGATGATGTCACTAGGAAGGTTAAAGTAGACACTTTCGATTTGATGGCCACCTAGACCATGAAGCCTTCTTTGACTGACTCGATATCATTAAAGAGTATTTCGATTAGTAAAAAATGTCTTGACTATCAACGTATTCATTTCATCAAAATGAAACTTGTCAAATCTGTTAATCGCTATTAACAGAGTGACACGATCCCTCAAATACTTGGGTCAGCCTATCACTATGTGGGAAAAAATGAATTAAAGCTCACGTAGAAGTACATCCATCTTACCATCGATCTCAACTCATAAAACATCTTCTTAACCACAAACATCAAGTCCTTGTGCTCAGCCCCGACTCGTTAGAAGATGCTTTCCACAAGGCTCTCGAACATGAGCAACACTCTTGATCTTCTTATGCATGGCATGGTCCTTCTTACTTTCCTGAGCTTCGTCAATCCCGCCCCCCTCCGACCACCGCTCCGACTAATGGCCCTATGGGATGACCCATAAGATTGTTGGGTCTTCCTCTACTCCTACTATTCCCAAGAATTTTGTAAGAATATATTTCTTCCTTGAAATTAAATTTGGTATTACAGATGAAGTAGCTCACTTCAAACAAATCAGAAGGCACACAAGGGCTCAAACATTTGTATGCCTTTCCTAGTCTCATTAAGGTTTTACCATTCATCCCTTTCTAATTCCATTATTTACCACGAAAAACAAAGAGAAAGAAACCAACGTGCAAACTTCCTCAAGCCATAACTCTATCTGCTTCTCTCATCTAACCTGTCTCAATGATTTAGTAGAGAACCTCAAAGTGGCACTCTGATTGTCAGAGCCTCAATAGCCTTTCTTGGGGAATTACACGACACTGGAAATGTCTTTCGAAACGACAATAAGAGCAACTGAAAAGGACAACATTTTCTTTCATAATAAAAAATGAGAAAATATCTCACGAGATGAATCCGGAGTACCATACCCTGTCCAGTTTAGAGGGGGGACCAACATTGGCATATATGGAATTACCATGTGCCTGGCCTGTGTGGATGGAAGAAAAAAGAATTATCTCACACAAACACCAAACCAGAGAAGAAGCAAACAAACAAACAATCCATTGCTGGCAAACAAAAATAGTAAGCGAAGTTCAGCAATAGGATCTGGAGCTGTACTTACAGTTCTTTCCATCCCTTTGCGAACTAGAGGGTCACACTCAATCACTCCATATCTCCTGCTGCCTCTCCTGTAATACATAAACCACAAGAAAACATATCCAGTTTAAAATGTAAGCATTTGTAAGACAAAGAGGACATGAGAAGAAGGTTCAGACAGGAGCACTTGTGGTTACTCACTGTGTTTCCACAGTTTTAAGTGAGTGCACAAATGCAGGTCGAATATCAGGTGGTCCATCTTCTAACTGATCAACTGGAGGTTGTATATGGGCTGTTTCCGTTAATATCTGAATCAAACGGCAGCCAACCTGGAAAATACAAAATGTTAGTGTAACTCCCATGCTATTTCCAACATTCGATTTGGAAATCACCAAAATAATGTTGGTGGGGTGTTAGCCCAAAAGGAAGAGAGAAGAGGCTGTATGCCAGCTTCACAAACTACAAACCTTTACTTGAGCATCCTGGCCCCAGGTTTTTAGATCATCTTGTTGTTTCACTATTTTCTTAACTTGGTGTAGTTTTTGTTTCTTCATCAAAATATTGACCTTCTTTCTCAGTCTCTCCTGTTCCTTCACTGCAGGATCAGGTTCTTCTTCAGAACTTTTACTTGGTGCATTCTTCCTCTTGGTCTTCTCCAAAAATCTGTGTATTCTGGCCTGAGTAAGAAAGATAGTAGTAGGTATTGAACGCTCATCCACAAATAAGCAGTCAGAATAGGAGAAGAAGAGAGAATTTAATTGCAGAAATTAGAACTTCCATAGTCATAATGCCTTTTACGCAAAAAACAAAAAGCGTTGAATTTATTTCTGCCAGGTTCATCATCATTATAACATATGATTCAATTTAAACATTTCATGATGTTTAAGTAAATAGAAAGTGAACAAAGCAGTTCTAGCCCAAAATGGACTTCACTTGGAAATATCCAGCTAATCATAACAGCGTCTCCAATACTAAATAACATGAAAAACTGTTCTAACTCCCATTTGAAAATCCACCATGTATAAACAATTACTTTCTGAGGGAAATAACATCTCAAAATATCATCCTTCAACAACCCATAGAATATGAGATTTCATCTTATAAGTGATCCGTTTATAGTCAGAGGGCGAGTTTGGCTTCAACCTCAAAGCAGTGCAATATATTCCATTCAAGTTTATAAACCACTATCCAGAGATATTCTCTGACGGAAAAATATAGATGTGGAAAATGGCTTTAAACTTGCAAAGGTAACAATGGTTGCACCAACTCATCTAAACCTAAAAGCTTAAGCTAAGAGCGGGCAGATTTATTTTGTTAACATTTGCCATCAACATGTCCCTTCCATGTAGGCTGAATTAAATTTTTCATCAAATTTATGACATCTGCACGATTTTCATTAATGAGTGGAGGGAGAATTTGAACTCAAAACCTTTGGCAACTGTAATACTATGTTAAATGAAGTTTTCCAACAAGGCAGCCATATCAATTTCTCACTTGGATAAGCACAATCAAAATGATGGTTTTTGACCTCTAGAGCTCATTGACTTGCTTCCAAGAAGGATTTTGATCAATCATTTCTCACCAGGGTGGTGAAATGAGGAAAGTGAAATGAGGAAAGATACTAAGTTTTCTTTTCTGCTCAAACTCATAGTGGAAGCCAGAAAAGAATATCCTCAATTATGCAGCACTGATTTTACGGTGGATAAAATAACATTTCCCTTTTCTAACTAACGCAAGAATTTAACCCTTATGAGGAAATTGAGTAATTTTAAAGAAGAGCCAATTAGCATAACATATTTTTTAATTTTCTGTTTGGACAGATATCCATACTTATTATCCCAAGAAAACCACTTCCAACTGTAAGTCTAATCATCATTTTAATGTAAGTCCTCATCTATCAATGCTCAACTTCATTAATGTAACAAATAATGCAAACATTAAGGTGACTAGAAGTCAAATTGTGATAGAAAATTGAAATGAACACTGGAGAAGCCAACCTCTTGCTCAATGGCTTCGCCAATATGACATGCAGCTTGCACTACCCTTGCACTGCCATTGCCTCCACCAGTCATTAACAGCCCCATCAACTTATGCATAGTAATAACCGCCATCATACCTGCAGGCAAGAGATCAAATTGTGGAGCGTAACCCTTCCGATTTTTCCCTTCCTTACACAACTCCTGTTCAGCAGCAATGGCATCTCTCAGCGGCTCAAACCACCCCAAGAACAATGACTTCACGTAAGGCAAATTGGGAGCCAATTTTTGCTCACACATGTCAACTAAAAGCTCTTGATATTCTTTTGCAGCCTCTTCCCACGCCTCAGTCTCCAACTTTATTTGCTTCCTCCTCAGCATATTGTACTTCGCTACACCCATTCCTCCCACCATTTTAGGCTGCTTTTGCTGACCTTTCTCCTGAATCTCTTTATTCAATTCCTCTACCAATTCTTGAATTTCATCAACATCTTCTTCAGAAGTTAACGCAATAGCCTCAGCTGCTGTTCCATAATCCCTGGAACTCCAAGCAAATCCAAAAGGGCCACTTGAAATTGCAAATTTGTGATAGCGCATTTTCCGAATTTGCCGAAAAGAATAATCTCGAAAAGAACCCAATTCTTGGTTTTGAGTGTTTACATAGTCTTTCAAGCCAATTGGTACGGACCTTTCAACAAAAATTGAATCTTGTTGGGATCTTAAGGAGCAAAAAACAGGCAAACAAGAATGGGATTCAGAAAAATATTTGAACTTTCTTAAACGTGATTGTTTGGATAAATCTCTCCACATAATTCAGTAGATTTATTTGTTAATTAACAATAAAATAACCGTGATTCAACGAGTATCATAGACTCAAAGAGGGTATCCAAAATTTAACAGTATAGAGAAGGAAAGGGATTATTGAGCTGAAAATTAAATGAGGAAGCAAATGTGAGAAAAACCGAAGGGTAGCAAGAACCAGAGGGAACGGCCGCCTTAAACCCTGATGAAAACCTCTTCAGTTTGCTCCTTTTGCGAAGAAGAGAAAAATAATCAAAATAAAAAATAAATGTGGAAATTACACTATCATGGTTTTTGTATGGAGTAATGGTATTCATCCTCGTTGGAATGAAAATACAGTCTGCGTGGTATTAAATGATAGTTAAGTTATTTAATTTCACGTTTTATTTAACATATCATTTAATGCCACATAAACTGTATTTTCATTCCTACTAGGAAATAGAAATGAATAATATTACTCTTTTATATTCTCAATTCAAAAATGAAAGTTTTTTTTTTTCCCAAAAATCACATAATTTAAACTTGTTAATATTATAAAATTAAATTAATTTGAAGAATAATTGCAGCAGCAATACCAAACATATTATTTATTAGCAGGTTTTCTCCAAACCTTTCATTTGAATCACCCACGATACCAACCTTTCAAAATGTCACAACTGAAATCCAAATGGACGATTTTAGTTAGTTTGATCATTAGTTGACCAAATAATTGATTTTGATAATAATTTGACTATTTTAAAAAGTTAAACTAGTAACTTTACATTTTTTTTATAATACAATAACTAAAATCAAATAATTAAAATTAAAAATTCATTTTCATCTTCTTCTTCTCCATCCACCCAACACATACCCACCCCCACCCCTACCCCTACCCTACGCCTACCCCGATCCCTACCCCAAATCTGCAAACCCAAATTTGGGAAATCTTTAGCCCCTGTTTGGCCCCCATTTTTGGGGGTTGAAAATTTTTAGAATAGTGATTGATGGGAGAATGTGTGGTTGAAAAAGTTTTAGATTTGTGTGTAATATCATTTTATTTGATGAATGTGTGGTTGAAATGAAGAGAGAAAAAAATTAATGTAATGGCACGAGAAAAAATGGGGCTCAAACGGGGGCGATATGTGTCACTAGTGTGGTAGAGAAGTAATGAGAAGATTTTGAGTTGTGTGTAATATTATTTTATTTGATGAATGTGTGGTCGAAATGAAGAGAGAAAAAAATTAATGTAATGAAATTTAATTTAATTTAATGGGGCTCAAACGAGGGCTTAAAGTGTGTTAATGCTTGACGTTTTGAGATGGAACTTGAAGAATCAATATATTTGACGCAAGGAGAATTTCTTGGGTGATTGAACAGATTTTGGAGAATCAAGGGGCTTGTTTTTCGTATTGTAAGTGTGGAGGGGGTTTTACGAGCTTGATTTTCCCTCCATCAAATAGTTCATCAGCAGGTAATGAACTTTTCTCTAGTTGACCACTAAAATCAAACAGCAAAATCTGCACCATCATCATTGGTAGTATCACCACCACCAGTTGTGGCGGCGCTGTAGTTCTTGAAATCTCTGTAGAGGACAGAGACACGGGTGGGGCTGGTGGGGGCACTGTAAAATAAGGTGCCAAATCGTAGTGGGCTTAAAGGGGCAGTTATGTATGGTTAAGTGCTCGCACTGTCAAAGATGAACTCCACAAGCAGTAATGGTAACATCACCTCCACCTCCATTGGTGAGTCTGTGAGAAAGACTCAGCAAATGGCAGAACTGTAACGAAAGATGATACATATATACATGTGTGTGGGAAATCTTCAAATCCCAAGCATTGACACACGTTGAAGATTTTCCAGATTTGGGGTTTGCGGATTTGGGGCGGGGGTGGAGTGTGTATGGTGGATGGAGAAGAAGAAGATGAAAATGGATTTTTAATTTTAATTATTTTATTTTAGTTATTTTATTATAAAAAATGTAAAGTTACAATTATAACCTTTTAAAATTAGTCAAATTTATTGTCGATGTCAATTATTTGGTCAACTAACTATCAAACTTACGGAAACCATCCATTTGGACTTCAACTGCGACATTTTGAAACGTTTGGTACCGTAAGTGACACAAATTAAAAGTTTGAGTAAAGTCTGCTAATAAATGAAACATTTGGTACCGCTGTTGCAATTATCCCTTAATTTAATACAATACCCATACTCATACCCACCCCAACCCAACCCCACAAAATCCTACTCATCTTTGTGTCGTTTCATGTTTCACCTCCCCACCCCCTACCTAGCAACAACAACAGTTGTACGCGATGACAAGATCAACAGTAGTGCGATCTCTCTCTCTCTCTCTCTCTCTCTCTCTCTCTCTCTCTCTCTCTCGTCTTATACATCTGTTGGTGAGATGTGTTCAGGTGTTGTCGTTGTGCTGTTGTTCTCCTTTCGTTGGTGTAGCCAATGCACGAGCGACGTTGTTGATGGTGTTGGTGGTGCACTGGCAATTGGTGGTTTGTGACGACGCTGACGATGTTGGTGGTTTGCAGCAGCACCGATAGTGTGTTGTTATTGGTATTAGCGCTGGTGTTGGTAGTAGTGTTGGTGTTGTAATAGTGGGGGCGGTAGTGCTGACGACGAGAATGGTGGCATGGTTGTGGTGGTGGCGGTGGCGGTGGTGTGGGACTAAGAGTTTATGACCAATTATTTGAGCGTTGTGACCAATAAATTAGTTAATTTGTGATCAATAAATAATATGCGACCTAAAAAATGTGTAATTGTGACTAAATTTGAAATTGTAACCACCTAATTCAATAATTTGTGACTTCAAAATAATCTATGACCAACTAATTTGATAATTTGTGATCGTGAAATAATTTGCGACTTATAAAATTTTTAATTTGTAACAGATGAATAATTGTGACCTATAAAGTTTTTTTTTTTATTTGTGATCGAGATAACAATGTGTAACCAATTAATTCAATAATTTGTTACCAAATTGTATATAATTGTGACTTTAATATATTTAATTAATAAAATATATTTTAATTAATTTTTTCATAAATAAATTTAATTAGTATTTGATTTTTGAAATTTTAAATCATATTTTTTAGATTTGAAATGGACAATACTTNATATTATGTATAGAGTAAAGATGTAATTGGTGTATATATAAAATAAGAAGGGTTATGCTACATGTATATAATTTTTTACCTAATCTTTTACACCCCACTCACATTTGGAAATGGGGACCACGAGTCGCATTTTTTTAAAAACATGGGGCCCGCCACATTTGTGAGGGGGGGACACCCCTTGGGTACATCCGGATAAACCCAAATAAGAATGTGACCTGAAATGGTGGTTATTTAAAGATAATTGATTTTTTTTTTTTTCATCATGTCTTCTTTAAAAATTGTTGCAATTAATGTAATACTTTTATAAACTAGAGAGAATAAAGAGGAATGTTGAAAAGATAATAGACTTGTATATTTTATTAAGAACAAATCCCCATATTTATAGGAAAGAATTATGGATACAATAATAATAATTACTTGAGCAGCAAAGGTGTAATTGTCGTTCATTAATAAGCCCTTGTTTAATCCCATTATTTCAAAAATACATTTTTTTCTCTATTCTTTTCACTCACGCATTCTTCAATAAAATAATATTACGCGTAAACTCCAAACTTTTCCTTATTTTTAACTACACATTCTCTATCAATTTACTATTTAAAAATACATTATGTGTCAAATAATGGAATTCAAACAAGGGCTAAATATATTATTTATAACATTCTCCCATTTAGTGACACATTTCAAAATATCCGCCTCAATAAAATATTGTCAACAAAATCTAATGGGACAAAACTTGAAAGAATGAAAAAGAGTATAGCTATTTCCCAGATTTCAATTCATGTATCAATTTATCGTTGTCTTGTATGTCAATATCTTCAATATTGCAATTTATGGTGAAATATGTCTCACGTTGTCTTGTATAATCTTCAAATAATACCGTCTTCATACAAGATATTTATCAACATTTGATTACTATAGTAATATGATGATTCGAAAATTAGTGTTTTTTAATCTCTTTGGGAGTTTCATACATATCATAATATTATTTTGAGGACAATTATTTTTTAGGTTATGGAAATTCATTACACAAAGAATATAAATCATTAAAAACTTATTAGATTCCTAATGAAGGAAAAAAATATATTATTCTTTTAAATACGCTACAAAAATTATCTCGTTAAAAACTTGTCATGAAAACTCAACGGAACAAAACGTTGGTCAAGGAAAAAAGAGAACAACTCGTATTTTTTCCCTCGTGATAATATCGCTTGATTATACTCCATGCATATTTAATCCTCCAGGACAATATTAATAGTCATGCCAATGAGTTAGCTATAATCAAATTTGTTTTATGCATATCAAATTTCATGTGTTTTTAGACCAATAGAGATTTGTAACATCTACCACAAAATTCAATATGTTGAAAGTCGTTCATTACATATTATGAGTTTTTTCCTTCCTTTTCACATAAGTGTACACATTTAGATTTTCGGATTATAAATCCAAAAACTTCAAGTTTCTATAATAAATTTAATTTGCTAGGATTGCGTTTATTTGTTTGGCCAATCATTTATTCGATTGATATATTTCAATAAATTTATTTTGATATCATCGCTATCCATAATCTAAAGTGGTACATTATATACAAAATTATTTTCGACAACTTTTATTTTCGATTCTATTTATTTCTCGTAGCATAACTTATTGAGATATTTCAATTTTCAACATATTAGGTGAACATCATTG